CACAAAAAGCGATGTCAGAGGAGAGGAAGCAGTGAACTCAAGGCGTGATGCGATGGTAGCATTCTCGAACAATGGCAACAGCGCAACATCGAGTAGAGAGCCGCAATACAACGGGAAAACTATCATCTCGATCCCAATAATGAGAATCACTTTCATGACCCCGCCACCCTGATGTATCACATCCGCGATGAGGCCCTCAACCCTTTGGCGACGCTCTGCGCCGGAGAGAAGATTCGTGACACGGAGGTAGAGTAGTCCAACAACCGATGCTAGTACGTAGCCCAGTAGAATGGCGATGACCCGGTCCTTGGTATCCCAAACAGCTAATTCTTGGGAGATATTGATGCCATTGGGCGAGGTTCCGTTTAGGCCAGCCATGAAGACATTTGTTCCATTTGAAGTATAAAGAATCTGGTTCCCCAGGCTGTAGATCTGATCGCGTGCTTGGATCATCAGACCAGTGAAGTCGATGGTCTCGCGACCAAAAGACAAGGCGCCGGGAAGCCCGTCATTCAAAAGTCGGAGGGGGAAGTCGTGCAAAATAAATTTGCCGACGAAGAAGACCGTTTCAACAAAATAGGAGATGCGCGCCTGGTGGATCTTGAGAGCGTGGTGCGAGAGTACGGAGAACATAGGAACGTCGGATTCATGAAACACGAAAAACGATTGGAGGGCGTTCCGTAGACGGGAACTGCTGGCATCAATGAGCGATAACGAGGCGCTGGTTACGGACTTGGTTTCGGGGATCCAATCGGCCACTGGAGCAAATGCAATGAAGGGCCCAAGCAATGTCTTGCAGATCAGGCTGCCCCAATACATTAGGTAGCCCAAACTACCGATGAGGGTATCAAGCGCGACATCAGCGAAGACGGATATAGCAGTCATAGGAACACCGACAATCAGGTGCACTGGGTTCGCCAGGAGGACAAGGGCGATTTTCCCCCAGAGATAGGGGAGCCAGATACCAATTGCAACCGTGAACGAGATCAGAAGGGCGCTGAATACACCGTTCTGAAGAAGACCGAAGATTGGGCCCTGCATACCAATAAGCTCGAGGATTCCCTCTAGATCATCGCCATCTTCCACCGCATCGAGGTCGTTGCCATCGACGCCCGGATCCTGCATGAGTCCTTGGTTATCTTGTGCACCACCCTCAGCAAGACGTCTGTCGTTCTGGATCGGAACAAATGGTGCCTCCAACTCAGGGTCAACTACTACTTGTTCGTCATCGTCATGAGCCTGGCCCTGGTCCTGGCCCTGGTCGTCAGTCCCAACATCTGCCCAAAACCAATCAAGCAGGCAAGCAACGAAGCTCTTGTGGTGATTTTCGATGGGCCGAGCGGCTTCAGTAGTACTTGGGTGGTTACTTGATTGTTCGTGATCATTGGCGGGATCAGCCTGGTTAGGAATCGCGGCACTAGTTTGATCACCCATCTGAGGTGCATCATTGCTTGAGGGTGTAGGCTCCTGAGGAGGCTCACGCTCGGTGGCGTGATAGGAACTGGATCGGAAACCATCGGAGTCCGGGTGTCGTTCTAGTCTGTCGATATCTGCATTGCCTTGAACCGCCTCTGCGAAGCTCCAGGGCCTAGTACTTGTTGATAGTAAGGCACGATCATCATCCAATTGTTCCGGGGCTGAAGCACCCTCAGGTTGAGTCATACCAGCATCGAAGTGAGTGCTGGAAGAGGCTTCAAGCGGCGGGTCCCGTCTCCATTGGTCTTGGCGATCTTCATTGCGCTGGATCTTGCTCACGGCGTTGACAATCCAATCCAGGTCATTCTGGCGGCCTTCATCGCGTACAATTCTCAATACCTGTTCGGGATCGCCATGGCCCCGGTCCCAAAGGTCTCTGAAGGTATCCACACCAGGCCAGGTTTGAGCGTATGGCTGCTCGGATGGGAAGTCCAGTTCCGCTTCACCGTCACTTTCACCGGTGTTTTGGAACGATCGCAAGGGCTCAAAGCCTTGTGACTCAGAAGATTCGAAGCCACTACGACTCTCGGGGTCGAGCGGCGATGACCTAGGAAACTGATCCAAGTCAACCGCGGGGCTTGCCGGCATGTTGAAGGCACGATGGAAGTCATCTCCTGCAGGTTCGTGATCTTCGGCGTCCAACTCAGCATCCTGTGGTGGTAAAGCAGCATCTTCCGCCGGCTCCGCATTCTCTACCGGCTGGTTCTGGAGGTTATTCGCTATGAGTTGAACAGCTGCTTCGCGCTCTCCCTCAGCAATGTTCGCCATGGGCTGTTGCTGTACGACCCATTCCCGGATGAGAAATATCAGGATGAATGAGATAACGACGAGCAGGGTGATAAGCTGACCCTCCAATGTATCGATGATGATGTTGTTGATAGTGGGAGACGGTGTCAGGGTATTCAGGAATTTGACATCGGATAACCATGAGGGACGTCTTGGATTGTATGTTGCGGTAGTCATATTGGAGTTGGCCCCAATAGACCCAGTGACCGACATTGCAGGGGAGAACAGTACTGAGAAAGCTTTCTTGATGAGTGTAAAGAGCAACGGTTCACCTGAAGCAAAACCGAACATGGAAGATACCGGAGACTGCACTGATGGTACATCGGCGGTGCTAGGTTGCGAAGTCGTCGATCTGGGTAATCCTGTAGCGGCTTGAATAATAGTGGTGGTAGTGCCATTCGCTACAACGAAGTCTATGCCGGGTTGATGATTATTGTCAGCACCAGTCCAGCGACCATCTGCAAGCCAGAAGAGGGCCCTCCATATCGCTCTCATGGACCATGGCAGCCAACCCAGCCAGACAAATGCCACTAGAATGAAACGGAGCCATGTGACGACGGTACGGAAGCTATGAATCATGATTTGTTTGAAGAATAACGGAGCTGGGAGGCTCTGTGGCATATTGGGATCGTATAATTTGGTAAAGCGAAACGGTGTCTTGCAGAGTTCGCAGTGCTTTTTCTGCGAATGGGATAACCATTCTACCAAGCAAGCTTGGTGAACGAACTTGATGCTCCCACTACATTTGCAGGGGTAAAAGAGCGGCTCTTCCGGGGTTCCCTCCCCACGACATATCCGACAGGTGTCCGGTTCGTCAAATTCCCTTTCTTTTCCTTTGTGGTTCGTGTCGTAGGCTGGGTCGTTCATGAGATCCGGAAAAGGTGCTGAGCCAGCATAATCACGGGGGTTGTCGTTGGCAAACCCCATCTTTTCGGCCAGTTTCGATGCGACGACCTTTCGTCCTTCAGTGTTCACTCAAGTATCATGTTCGTCGGGCATGGGAAACCGTCGACGTGTATCCGGAATATGTTTTTAGGAGAGGACTGGGTGGATAAACTGTTCCTGTATGGCGTAGATGGGAGATGCTTACGCATCAGCCAGGATTTTGGGTGCGCGACTCGGTTCTGCCTCCAGTGTTGAGGTGAAAGTGAGGTTTGGGTGGTTAGATGTTGGGATGATGTGATGCTGCGGTACATCAAGTTGGGGCAGGCAAGTTCCCGCGCAATGCGACTGACTCAGCCACAGCGCCACAGCAGGCAGCCATGCCATCACTGTCTGCTGGACTTGGGGCTATGTTCTGAGGGCAGGCACTAAAGTCAACAACAAGTCAGTGTGGCCGAGTGGTTAAGGCGTCAGACTCGAAATCTGATACATTCGTGTGCACAGGTTCGAATCCTGTCGCTGACGGAACATTTTCTTTTTGCTTTTGGGTTTCTTATACCACATTGCTGTTTTAGCTTGTGCCATGGTTTTCTGATCCTCGGTGGTACCTTTTTGTGTCCATTGCATTACTCGGGTGTTGATGTTTCTGATAGAATGGGGCTTGTTTGTGCCTGTAGTACTAGGCTTCTGTTTAGAAGTAAAAGGTGTGAGTTTATAGCTTGCCAATGCTTGGTCTATGGGTTCCACATGGATCGAGCAATTTGAAGGGGATCGCCTTTTAAGCAGGAACATGGGATTACTCTGCTACGTGTTTTTACAGTAGACAGCGCTGCTGAGGTCTTGTTTGCCGCGTCGCTCTGACTATGAAAGTCTTGTGCATATTCCGTACTACCAAGGAGGACGGCGGGTGAGACGGGGAGACCCTCAGATATTGCACGTTTGTGTGCTAGCTACTGAGAATTCGTTCGGGATTGTTCCGGCCAGGTGGTTTTACGGCTACCTCTCTTATTGCAACCGTATTCTAGAGCAGGTTCCCAAGACTTGCCTTGTCTCTTGCAGATCGTTGTGGTGCTGATATATTTCCGGGATGCGTCCCTCAAACCAAACCATGGAAAGACCATGTATTCGCCCATCACGCTAATAAGACCAATACAGCATCACGAGTACTTGCGCTGTAAACCCTGGACCTAAACCACAAGTTTATATCGTAAAAATCTCACATCTCCCACGACAGAGAGAATCCGTAGACATGATCTGATTGAGGAGGTCCACACACAAAAAGCGTGGACCAAAAAAGATTTGACAACCGTCAGCGGTAGGATTCGAACCTACGCCCACGAATGGAATTGATATCTCCTTAGAAGGATCAGACCTACTAAGGTTCGAGTCAATCGCCTTAACCACTCGGCCACACTGACGTCAGTTGATTTACACCTTTTAGCATCAATATATAATGTCATCACAACTATTGCCGAAAGAAGGCATAACCACAAAAGTGACATTTACCATACGCCTGCGCGAACCCTACATCTACATGACCAAAGTTTCATCACTTTCCCAGCCGCTATAGTCAATCTTGATCTGTGTCAATATGGCTGAAGCAGATATCTCTTCACTGGCACGACGTGTGCTCCAGATCCTGTAGGTTGCAGAGGGCTCATGTGAACTTGATACGTTACCGTACAGATGGTCCAGGCCAAGAGCTGCCATCCGGGCCCGGCCAGTGCTGATCCCGAAGTTACGTCCTGTAAGAGTGCACAACTTCGGCGCCACACGTCGAGCAATGACCTCACTGCGCGGAGGGATCTCTAAGCAAAACATCATTGCGCTCCTGCATTATCGCGGCCAAGGGTTCACTTAATTTCGTACCGCTACCGTTTTCTCAGAGTCCTACGACACCACGTGTTATTTGCTTTTTGATCGTCATTCATTTTGTGTTTGTGTGCAGCACCTACGCCTCCTACGCAGCCAGAAAGATTTATTCTGTGATACCAGCCAGCCGGCGTGCATAGGCCCTGTGCCAAGACTCTCGACTCCATTGCGCGTGCGGAATCTTTACAGGGTCTCTCTACTGCCGAGTCCTAGAAGAGCTACCATCGGCCATTCGTCATACATCAACCAGGGGCGAAATCCCTATTTCGACGAGGACTCTCACTACTCTCGCGTGATGATTTAAGCTTATATGCTCCAACGTTCCTGCCCAGTAACTCGCTCAAATCGAACGCGCAATACGACACGATAAGAAATCTGCGAACCCAAGCACTCCTTGCAAATGGGAGACGAGACGATGGCCACCACGAAGAACGGCTTTGTGGTGGAGGGACCTAGTCGTCCTGTTGTGACGGTCGACAGCAGACCCAGGCAACGGAAAAGGAACACTATTAGGTGGACGATAGGGCTGGTGGTCCGGTGAGTCTCACTGATTGGACCTAGTTTGTTGTCGCACATTCGCTGACCTGGCGGGATTTCCCGTTTCCCATCGCCAGACTCTGTATATGGTATGCGCTCTTGACGCCATTCTTTCGCTGTCCATCTCAGCTCTCCGACCTGGATGGGACCTCGCCCCGAGTTTGCAAACCGTACCTAATTGCTCGATCGCACCTCGAGCCTCATATAACCCCGTATTATAATGCGTACGGTGCGCCATATGTCGAGATGGCCCGTCCGTACGTGCACATCGTCAACGAAAAAGTCTATACGCCCACGTCTCGCGTCGTTCGACGCGGCTATGAAACTTATGGTGTACCAGCATTGAACAAGGCTCAATCGTACGGCCAGGATCAATGGGAGGCGCGAGTGGTCCCACATTTGAATGCGGTCAAGGACAAGACGAACACGCTGTACCTGTCGGAAGTCTACCCATATGTGCAGCGTGCCGAGGAACTCGTCCTGCCGCCGTATAGGAAGGCTAGTGGCGCGGTCCGATCTGCTTGCGTCGATTATCTTCTACCCTTTGGTGCCAAGTACCAGCCATATATCGGAAAGACATTCACCTCGGGGCAGGATATCCTTACTACCACGATTCTGCCCAATGCGCAGAACTCCTGGTCTACTACTATTCAGTTTATCAAGGGAACTCTATGGCCTAGGATCGCCAGTCTCTACTGGGAGAATGTAGAACCCCAACTCGTCAAAATTGGCGAGAGACTGGCCAGTTACCGTGAGGGAAAGGGGCCTCGGAATGTCGTGGATGAAGCCAATGCGTGAGTACCCATCCCTGAAGCGCAAGCTCACGGTCATCCACTCACATTCCAGCAGGAGTTTCCCGGATCAGTCGGTTCTTGCTTCTTCGGTCTCAGGCACCACATCTCTGAGAACCACACAATACGAGACTGCTACCGCGTCATCCACAACCGTGGTACCTCCGCCGCAACCTACGCTTTCAGCCGAGGAACAGAAAGCCCAGAGACGCGAGAGAGTCGAGAGCGACCTACACGCTTGGCAAGAAAAGTTCGCCGTCGCTTCTAAGAATGGCCTTGAAAGCCTCGAGGAGCTCTTGCAGGAGGTCGTCTCTGATTATCTTTCCAAAGAAAATGTGGCGTATGGCGAAGAATTGGTCACAGGGCTAGAGGCGGTTGTGGAGAACGAGATCATCGCACTCAAGCATCATATAAACACCCTGGCTGAATCTCTGCCCTACGAAGAAATACCCAAAGCTGAAAAGGCTGCTCAAGAGGAGCTGTTGAGAAACGTCAAAGAAGCCGCAATCTCCATCCGAGGCCGTGCTCACGCCCTCAGGGAATGGCGCAACGCGTTCGAGAATGAGCTCATGCACCGCGTTCATATCGCAGTCAACTCTACCCTCGAGGTTCTCGATAACGTTCGTGATCTCGGGTTTCAAGAGGTGGGCATCCGCTGGGCGTCGATGGATGGTGTTACCTACAAAGACTGGGCCAGATACCACGCCCTCAAAGCAGAAATGGAGGATTGGAAAGATCAATTTATCGCCTTTGGAACTAAACATGCTAAGGTCGAAGAAGCGGTCTTAGCCGCAGAGGAGACACTGTCACGAGGAATGATTGTGGCTGAGAATGCGGCGAAGGAGCTTGCGAGATTGAGGGAAGTCGGCAGATGGAAGATTTCGGCTCGCGAGGCGAGCGACAACTTTGATACGAGATCCGAGCCCCCACCATCACTTCCAGAGCCTGCCATTCCCGAAGAAGACACTGCTGATGAGATCAGTCTGGACGAGGTACCCCAGGCAAGCCCCGAGACTTTTGCGAACCACGGTGCTTCCGCGGAGTTCACCGCCGAGCAACTGGATAATCCGGCCGACGTCGCCGGCACTAGCAACCTCGATGCATCCGACCAGGCGGCATGGGGCGTGGCTGCAGCGGTTCTCTCTTCCCAGAAAGCCAAGGCAGGTCACCTGGGCTCCGACGAGCAGGAGGCTATCGAGAAACTCATTTCGGGGCTGCTTGTCGGCAAGGATGTTGAGTTCGCCGAAGATATCATGAAACAACTCCGCGCCATATACAAGACACCGAGACCATCTGAGGCCTCATCCTCGGTATCATCCTCGTCATCGACCTTGGCAGCACCTTCGATATCAATCAGCGTCGTTGACGATGTTTCGACTACGCCAGCAGCCATTCCAGTCGACGAGACTACTACTCCCACTTCTGTGGTGACCGAAGAAATTGCTTCCGAACCGACTGTTGCACATGCCGCACCCGACGTGCCAGACCCAGCGCATGAACAGCAAGAATCCCCCGAAGCCTCTGAGGATGTAGAAGCAGCTATGGAGAGTGCGGAGTCACAATATGTCAGCCTGACCTCCCGTGCAAGTGACTTCGAACCCGTCGCAGTTGAGACTGGTGTGGATGCCTCGGATGAACAGACCGAAAGCATGGAAGATGACGTTGAGGCCGAGTTATGAAGACCATGACCCACACGATCTCTACTGTCGCTTGACAGTATTGGGTATTCTGTTTCTTGCTTTTCATCTGTGCTTGATATCCTTATGTTTCCATCTTTTCTATTCCTGACCTTCACATCTTGTCGGATCGTGAGCTTGAATATTCCCCACATAGTTCCTACGATTGTACGTCACGACCAATATATCGATTCCTATGGTACAACACCTGGCTAGTTTATTAGGCCGCTTTCCCCAGCCATCTTCAAGACCGGCACTTGCACTAGGATAAACCATACCGTAATCGACTTCCTTGTCTCACCCACTACTAGCATACTCGAACTGTAGGCCTGTGCATTTCGACGCTCTGATCATATGAGCACGTAAACAACTTTTCATCTATACAATAAAAGCGTACAAGGAAGTCCCATCGTAACCCGCTCATTCCAGACACCATGCTCATCCCACATACAGTTTCTAAATACACCACCAATCCACCCCAGCCAAATAGTGCATGAACTAGAGGAAACCGCAACAACAAAAATCCCCCCCCACACAATCCACAATCTCAGCGATACTGCACCCTCTGCCCACCCCGCTTCTCCAACTTCTTCTGCCTCTTACTCTCCGGAGCCGCACCGCCAGCGCTACCATCAGCACCACCACCACCACCCATCCCCGCCAGCCCGCTCCGCATCCCCATGAACGTGGAATAGGCCAACCACACCGAGTACAGCGGGATCACCACCCACAGCCACCAGGCGCGGTCGCCGAACAAGCACACGGCCCCGATGCAGCCCCACGTCCAGTACAGCACGTCCCACATGTACTCCGTCAGCCCGGCGGCGCCCAGGTCCTCCCCGGGGGAGCGCAGCGAGCCGTCGGCCGGGTTGTGGCGCGGCCGGCCGAGTCGGTCCAGGTAGAATTCGATGAGGAGGGTCGGCACCGCGAGCAGGATGTAGGGTTTTAGCGAGCGCGGGCGGTTGAATGTCCAGTGCAGGGCTAGGTAGAGGGCGTGGAGGCCGAGGCTGATCAGGTGGGTGCGCTGCAGGAGCGCCGTGTTGCGCGCCGCGAGGGTCTTGGCTGCTTTCTGTTTGGCGGGGGTGGTTGTTAATTTGGGGTTTGGATGTGGTGGAGAGGATATTGGGTAGAAGAAGGAGGAGGAGGAGGGGGAGGAGGGGGGGGTTACCTGAGCCATGTTTGTGGTGATAGTAGGGGGTAGGTGGTAAGTGGGAGGTGGGAGGTGATCTGGTCTTATCGAGTATGTCGGATGATGCGCCTGAGGTCGCGTGGTGGGGAGGCGGCAGGGCGGGCGGTGGATGCGGATGCTTCAATGGATATTCGAATTTTGAGATTTTTGTTTTTGTTGTTGTGATATGCGATAGCAGAGTGGGAGTATAGATAGGCTTCACACGTAAGTAGAATCTCAGCAGCAATGCAGCATGATCACCGAGGGGTCACTTCTTGCGGACGGAACTGCAATCGGCGGGAGTTACGGAGTAGGTTGTAGTTCACTGCGAAGACGGAAGAGGGAATGGCAGAATGGCAGAATGGCGTTGCCCACCACAACCGGACAAGCGCCCGCGCCTCTCTCCACCAGCCACGCTCTGAATTGCTTGTTTCCCCCCCCCCCCCCCCCCAACCCCAAAAACATCGCATGGCCGAAAAGAGAGCGTCGTGACGACACGGTCCCTAACTTAACTTAACCTCACCGCATCGAAACTCCCGCCAGCTTGGGGCTAGTTCCAGGCACTGTTCATGCTCCACCCTTCTGTCATCAATCAACTTGTCTCCCCTTCGCTGCGATATGCAGTTTGATTTCCTCCTAGCATCCCTCTAGACTCGCCCCCTCCCTCTATCAAACGTCGTCACGAGTCTGTCCCTGTTGTGAGACGTCATCCACTTCGCTTCATTCGGACCAGTCTCACACCCCCCTCTCGACTCTCGATAATCGCTGGCAAAAGGGAAGGAGGAGGATTTCGCTCCCGGGATTAGGCAGGGACCGGCCCTGCGACACGCTTTGCGCCTTTCGGTCTCGGATTACGGTGGCTGTTGACAAGCATTTGATCCATGCAGTGAGAACCGGCACCGCGACCTCGTTACCTCGCCTTTGTTCTCGCCGCGCCTTTCCCACGACTCTAGTTTTACGAAAATACCACTTGCTTAACTGCTCACCTAATGACTTATCGGTATTGAGAAGGGGTTTTATTCTTTTTTTCTGGTTTCGACCTCCCTTGCACAGACACTACCTCCTATCCTTCCAATCCTCAACTCCTTGAATGAAATCGCAAAGCAACCATGTCGCCATCCACCGCTCACATATCGAGCCAACTGCGGCAGTTGATTTATTATCACCTCGATAACAATTTGGTTCGTAACGCGCTTTTCCTCGCCGGCCGCTTGCACGCCTACGAGCCTCGCGCATCGGAAGCATCATACCTGCTCGCCTTGTGCCACCTCCAAAACGGCCAGGTAAAAGCAGCATACGACTATAGCAAGAACTTTGGATCACGCGGCACGCATCTTGGTTGCGCATATGTATTCGCGCAAGCTTGTCTGGACCTGGGGAAATACCTTGACGGCATCACGGCGCTGGAACGGAGTAAAAGCCTTTGGGCTTCTAAAAACCATTGGAGTGAGTCTGCTTGAGTTTTCCGGCCGCGTGATGTGATGACAGTCGCGAAACCCCTTTCTTGTCTTGTAATGCGGCTGGTGCTGACCTCTGTTCCCTTGTTTACTTCTAGACAAGCACAGCGAGACGCGCAGACAACATCTCCCGGATGCGGCAGCAGTGTTATGCTTATTGGGTAAGCTGTGGCATGCCCACAATCAGCACAATAAGGCGGTAGAATGCTATGTTGAGTCGCTCAAGTTGAATCCGTTCATGTGGGACGCGTTTCTGGGTCTCTGCGAGACTGGTGAGTTGCTTGCATCCAACACCGATGGCGGAATCTTTGCTGATCGATGACTTCGAAGGTGTTAATATCCGAGTTCCGAACATCTTCAAGATGAATCCCGAGTTCCATGCTCTAGTATCATCTTCCTCGCAAGAGGACCTGGACATCCCCTCCGAGAAGACGACACACAATGGTGGCCCGTTGCAACCGCAGGCTAAAGCGAATTCAAGCATGGATCCATTCACGTCGCTGACATCTCGAAGCGACACGACGGCCTCGCACGGCAGTTCGGCTCTATGGGAAAAGCTGAATGGGAGCACGGTCAGCGTGGCTTCAACAGGGACAGGCACGGCCCCGGCAGTTCGGGAAGGTACTGAGACACCCGGAGGTCAAAGCAGCGAATCCGATGAGATTCGTGGCCTCAACCGGACAGGTAGCGGCGAAGGTACGTGGGAGCCGCCCTTAGCACCTGCTCGGAAGAACAGGACGATCCAAGCCATCGGAGTCGACCATACCATGGATTCGCCGCCCAAGATAAAACCAACGGGGATCAGACCACGAACGAGGACCCGCGTCGAGACGGAAGAGCAAAACACGTTACATCCGGAGAAAGACGCCATCAATGGTTCTCGGGTGGGAGATCGCAAACGAACTGTCTCAGGCCAAGTGGCTCATCCTTCAGCGCTACCGCCTTCTGAGCCAGGGGCGCCGCAACGGCGGAGCGTTCGACTCTTCAATCAGATCAAACCGACCACTAGCAAGTTGTCCAATACCGCACTCGGAGCCAAGGATGGCAGGGAGCTCAAAAAGGTCAAGGCCACTAGTACGAAGAGCCGCACTGCCACGGGCGCGAGTCTAAATCGTGTTGTGAGCGGCTCCCGGAAACAGTTGAACGAAATTCATGATGGTGAAACCAGGGAACATCGACCAGGCATTTCGGCGCCTAATGGGGTACACCATCCTCCCGCCAAGGGGACGTTGCTGGAGCGGTCAAAGGCAATGGAGGCACTGAACTGGCTGCTCGAGCTCTTTTCGAAGTTGGCCTCCGGCTATTTCGCCCTTTGCCGATACAAGTGTCCCGAAGCTATTCAAATCTATACAGCCCTGTCCCAAGGCCAGCGGGAGACCCCTTGGGTACTTTCGCAGATCGGGAGGGCATATTACGAGCAAGCTATGTATTCCGAAGCGGAGAAGTACTTCATCCGGGTCAAGACCATGGCTCCTTCAAGATTAGAGGATATGGAGATCTATTCGACGGTCTTGTGGCACCTCAAGAGCGACGTGGAACTGGCATATCTGGCCCATGAGCTGATGGAGATTGATCGCCTCTCCCCGCAGGCCTGGTGTGCTGTGGGCAACTCCTTCTCCCACCAACGGGACCACGACCAAGCTTTGAAGTGCTTCAAGCGTGCGACGCAATTGGATCCTCATTTTGCCTACGGGTTCACTTTACAGGGACACGAATACGTGGCGAATGAGGAATACGACAAAGCCCTAAACGCGTACCGACATGGGATTAGCGCCGACAGTCGGCATTACAATGCCTGGTACGGATTGGGCACGGTCTACGATAAGATGGGCAAGCTTGAATTTGCCGAACAACACTTCCGCAGCGCGGCCACGATCAACCCGACCAACGCCGTACTTATATGCTGTATTGGTCTGGTCCTGGAGAAAATGAACAATCCCAAGGCGGCTCTCATTCAGTACGGTCGTGCTTGTTCTCTCGCCCCCCACTCGGTACTTGCTCGCTTCCGCAAGGCTCGCGTGTTGATGAAGCTCCAGGAGCTTAAATTAGCGCTCGCTGAGTTGAAGATTCTCAAAGACATGGCTCCCGACGAAGCCAACGTCCACTATCTTCTTGGCAAACTCTACAAGATGTTACACGAAAAAGCCAATGCAATCAAACATTTCACCACCGCCTTGAATTTGGATCCCAAGGTAAGTTACCCCTTGGCTCATGTTGGTCCGAAGCAATGCAATGCTAATCTCGTACACTAGGCGGCACAGTATATCAAGGACGCTATGGAATCCTTGGATGACGACGATGAAGACGACGAGGATATTGCATGATTGTACTATTCCCCCCGCGGTTTCCTGAATGATCCTTCCGACACTCTCATTTCCATTATTGTACCTTGTTAGTCATGTCCTTCAGCCTGCGGTTGTTTTTCCGAACCCAACTTGTGGCGTGGGATCGTCATTGGGCGAGGATCGGCGTTTGTGTTTTTTTTTCCTGGATCAGATTCGCGCAAGCATCAGCATTATAAGGGCGTTTGCCGGTGGGTTGGTTAGAGGGCATCTTCCTGCATTGGGCTCTCGACGGGTGTTGAGGCTCCTGGATATTGTATCTTAGCGTAAGGGGAGGATGGATGGATGGAGGGATGGAGGGATGGAGGTTGGGTTGACTGCGACACCAGAGATAAGGACGCCAGAACGACAGGGTCCATGCACATAATGGAGTGATATTCTTATGGTGCATTACGCAGTCTATTTTTACTAGCATAGCAATGAGAATCAGTGCTGAACATGTGGGAATCTAAACGGAGGGTGGAGTACACCGAGTTTACTACGTAATATAGTTCGTGGTTAAAATGAGCCTCGGCTTCTCCAGGCGGGGAAAAAAGCAGGGTGAAGGCGGTGAGAGGCGGCGGAGGAAATGGCCTCAAAGTCAAAAAACCCGGTCGGGATGAATTGAATCGATGAATCGATTGTTGAATCGTTCGCCTCCCCTGGTCAATTCCCCACATTGGCACTGCATTTGGTCCCTGTTCCTGGATTGACTCAATTCTTCATCTTTTTAAACTCATTTGCATTGTCGTCTCTGGCATCTGTCACCCATTGCCTCCACTGATACTGCTACCCTCCCTCCTCGGGTGATGTTGTAGTTCTCTCTCTCTCTCCGAAACCACTCGCCTGACCTCATCATCCAACCACCCCAGCAGTTCCTTCCCCCCCCCAGCGGTTTGTTTCGGTTCGTTGAATCTCCCCCCCCCTCCCTCCACCATTCCTCTCTTTCTAGGAGTGAGAAAGATGTGTGTGCCTCTCTCTCTTTTTTTCCTCTGCAGGCTCTTATCTTTCCCTCTCTCATTTATACGCCCTAGGACCTTTATCTGACTCAAATCTTCCTAGTGCAGACCCATAGTCTTAACTCCGACCAGCCCTTTTCCTTGCCGCGTCTCGTCATGTCCTTCTTCTCCTACGTTGCCTCGGGCATCAGCTCGTTCGTCGTTGTCACGCTCTCCTTATTCGCTCTCGGCCAGAAAGTTCCCCGCGCCGCTTTCGTTGCTCGCTGCCTGGCAGCCTACGGCTCGCTCCTCCTGTGCGCCACCTATGGCGTAGTGGCCTCGATTGTCTTGCGCCTGGCCGGCTACGGCCGGGTTTCGCAATGGGCCACGGCGCGCAGCTTTAAATGGGTGATGCGGTATACGACCGGTGTGCAGTTCGATATTGTGGAGGGTATCGAGCACCTGTCGACTCGCCCGGCGGTGTTCATCTCCAACCACCAGTCCGAGCTGGACGTGCTCATGCTGGGCGCCATCTTTCCTCCCTACTGCAGCGTCACGGCCAAGAAGTCGCTCAAATATGTGCCCTTCCTCGGCTGGTTCATGGCTCTGTCCCGGACGGTCTTCATTGACCGTGCCAACCGCGAAACGGCCGTCAAGGCGTTCGACAGCGCCGCCGCGGAGATGCGTCAGCACCGCCAGAGCGTATTCATCTTCCCCGAGGGCACCCGAAGCTACTCCGACAACCCGGAGTTGCTGCCTTTCAAGAAGGGCGCTTTCCACCTGGCTGTCAAGGCTGGTGTGCCCATTGTTCCCGTCGTCACGGAGAACTACTCCCATGTCCTGTCTCCCCGCAATATGCGATTCAATGCGGGGACTATCAAGATCAAGGGTGCGTTTGCTGGGTTCCGTGTCTCTCTCTTGACGATGGATTGGTGACTAACATAAGTATAGTTCTGCCGCCGATCAGCACCGAGGGTCTGACCGCCGCCGACGTCGACAGTCTCACCAAGTCTACGCAAGCGTCGATGCTCAAGACTCTCCTCGAACTGTCGGAGAAGGACAAGACGGAGATTGGCTCTACTGTCGCCAATGGCACCTCCACTGCCGTCGAGATCTAGATCTCTTGTCATGACGATATCATGATCGACTCATCCACGACCGAGAAGTGCCCTGCATTCGAACATTTGTAAATTGTGCTGATATCCTATGTCCGCGCCTTCTCCATTATTATTCATCCTTTTTACGATTCCACGTCCTAAACCGATCATACTATGCAGCCACTTGCCGTACCTAATCCGACGTCTTGAGATCGGGTGATTCCTACGGCTAGAGATTTTCTCTGGCCTGACACCCTGTGTACTCTAGCCATCTCCCGCGTCGATAATACCTTGTTCTTTCTCGCCGCCAGCCTGCTTTCTTTCATCGGAGCAATGCCGCAGTCGCTTTTCTGGTTCGGCCTTGCAGGAGCCAACTTTGGGAGGAAAGGGGGAAGAAGACTGGAGGATTGGCTGGCGGAGACAGACGAGGATACTGCTCGCCCAAGGGGGGTAGAAGATCCCTAGATACCGAGTGGTATTCAAGAAGCTTTGTATTCATAGACTGAGACCATCTTCCTTCTAGAGTGTATATACAATCACTATTGCTACTTGGGATTCGAGGTGTCTGGTTCTGAGATTGTACTGTGACCATTGCGCACAGCTTTGCTCAGGGGTGGCTGAAAGAAGCCAGCCTTCACTCCACTCAGTTACCACCATAAGGTCAAAATCGTGGACATCCGCAACTACTCCAAACACCGACATCTCCCCTCAGCACACGGCCTGACATCCCGTTCGATATCAATCTCCCGCAACGCCTCCCAGGTATCTTGCTGCCCAGCTTCCGCACCATGACTGCGCGCCCCAATCCCCGGCCCACTCGCCGCGGTAGCAATCAAATAATCCTTCTCAAACGCCACAATCTCCACACGCACATCTGCCGCCGGCTTCTTGTGTAATGTCGTCCGCACCCCGGTATACGGCTCCCCCACTTTGGTTTCCGGGTGTACCGGCTCCGGCGCGACGACGGCCCCAAACTCCAACTCCCTCAGCCAGGGCGCAAGTAACGCCTCCCCGGTCATCTTGATGTAGGCCTCCTTTAGGGCCCAGTACGCGTAGAAGACACGGTAGCTGTACTCGATGCTCTCGCTTATGGTGTCCTGGGCTGTGTTGGTGTTGTGGGCAGTGCCATTTGACCGCGGAGGGCGGAGCGTCTTGATCAGCCGGATCTCCTCGGGCGAGAACACCTCGGTGAAGATGTCGACGTAGCTGGTGAAGGTGTCGCGGGGATTGGCATTGTCTTTGCTTTTACCGGTGGAAAGGGAAGGCTGCCGCTCGTTCGTGCAGGTGATGTCGATCCCGACCTGCGGGACCTCGCCCTCGCCCTCGCCCTCGCCCTCGCCGTCGGCGGGTTCCGGGCAGGTGGTCCCCGCCAACGCGACGAGGGAGGCCTGGTGGCTGACGTTGAATTCGATGGTCGGGATCTTGCGGGAGGTGGTGAGGAGGGCGGCGCTGGGGATGAAGCACGGGCGGCGGTGCGGGGCCGGCGTGCGCGAGAGCGTGATCCGGTCCCAGGGGATGCGGCAGCTGCGGTGGATGAAGAGGTACTTGAGGAGGTTGGACGCTAGCGACATGTGCTTGTCTTTGAGGTGGTGGAAGCGGCGGATGGAGGCTTGGTCTTCCGGTTGCAGGGTGGTGATTAGCGGGAGGTTGGGGGTGGTTGGGTTGGCGGCTGTGTTCGTTGCGGTTAGTGGGCGGGTGTCGATGTACCATCTTGTTAGGGATTGGGGGTTCGGGTTTGATTGGGAGGTTGTGCTTGGGTTGGTCATTGTGATTTCGGGGGTGGTGATAGGGGGTGGAGGGTTGGAGGTTGCGTGTGGTGGTGGTTGTATAGATAGGCTGAGGCTGTCGGAGCGGGGTGGATGACTGGAGTAAACAGAGTTGCGATGGAGTTGGTCTAATGGATTATGCCGCGCGCGAAGGTGCCGCTGAGGTGCTGGATGTCTTCGGAGAAGAGCCTGAGTGCTGAGTTCTATTCAGAGCTTGCCAGGGTTAAGAAACCTGGATAATACGAAAACAGGATCGTGTCAGCTCAGCTCAATTCATGGAGATGGATTCAATCCTCACCTGCCCGATTGGGTATATCTTCCTGCGGGGAGAATCACGTGGTGATAAGAACGGTCCGATGGATGATCCGATTCCAACGGGCGGAACACATGGGGTTTCCCGCGGCGATCGGTCGATTGATTGACTCAAAGTGGCGCTCGACTTTCTACATACTACCACTTCTACAACACTATCCAACAATGAGCAACATCACCGTCGGTGTCCTTGCTTTGCAAGGCGCTTTCTACGAACATGTGCAATTGCTGAAGCAGGCCGCGACCACTGCCTCGGCCAACGACAATGTTTCCAAGGCACAATGGGAGTTCATCGAAGTCCGCACCCCGCAGGAATTGGCCCGGTGCGATGCGCTCGTTCTGCCCGGAGGCGAAAGCACCACAATGTCCCTCGTCGCGGCACGGTCCAATCTCCTGGAGCCTCTGAGGGACTTCGTCAAGTACGTTACTAGACCTGATTCATTTTGGCCCTCGACTAACATTTGCCTCTCTTTCTCCATGGTAGAGTCCACCGCAAGCCAACTTGGGGAACCTGCGCCGGCCTGATCCTACTCGCTGAGTCGGCGAACCGAACGAAGAAAGGCGGCCAGGAATTGATCGGAGGTCTGGATGTGCGCGTGAACAGAAACCACTTCGGCCGGCAAACAGAAAGCTTCCAGGCGCCACTGGATTTGCCCTTCTTGGGGCCTGACGAGCCCGCTTTCCCAGCCGTCTTTATTCGCGCCCCGGTTGTGGAGAAGCTTCTCCCACACCACGAGGGTATCCAGGTGGGTGAGGCCAAGCTAGATGACACCGTCGTGGCACCTTCTCGACACGCGGAGAGCGAGGCAGCCCTGGCCGCCATGGAGGACCATGTGCAGGTGCTGGCCACTCTGCCTGGAACAGCCGCCAAGATAGCCTGCGAGTTTGAC